TAGGCCATAATATGACGAAAGATTATCGGGAATATTTCGATAAATATTGAGTTACTGCTCTCCATGTCCCATTCTTTAGTCTCTGAGTAAGAGAAAACGGTATTTTGAAGAGGATAACAGCACTAGTTTTTTAGTTTAATATGTTTATTATGCACCCATACCCATCCTGTGGGCGGTAGTCAAAAGATTACAGAGGTACATAATTGGTCCAGGGACTGGACTCCAAAGTTTTGATAGCTGAGCAAGTTACAGAGGTAATGAACTCACAATTTACAAAGGTAATGAACTCACAATTTACAAAGGTAATGAACTCACAATTTACAAAGGTAATGAACTCACAATTTACAAAGGTAATGAACTCACAATTTACAAAGGTAATGAACTCACATTCAAGGTAATGACTCCAGGTAGTTGGTCACAATCATGACAAGTTACAAAGGTATTTACAGATTACAGAGGTACGTAATGGGTCCAGGGACTGGGCCCCCAAAGTTTTGATAGCTGAACTAGGTACAAAGGTAATGAGCTCACAAGTTACAAAGGTAATGAATTCTGTAGAATGGTTACTTACGTTTATACTTTGGCTACAATCATGAACAAATTATAGAGTAATGAGCAATTCACACTTCCACACCCGGTCACAACTGTAATGAGTTATTGGTGCAAATATTGATTGTTGAGTCACACACACACACACACACACACACACACACACACACACACACACACACACACACACACACACACACACACACACACACACACACACACACACACACACACACACACACACACACTTTAGTTTAATATCTTTATGCACCCCATACCCATCCTGTGGGCGGTAGTCAAAAGATTACAAAGGTACATAATGGGTCCAGTGACTGGACCCCAAAGTTATGATAGCTGAACTAGTTACAAAGGTAATGAACTCCAGGTAATGAACATCAGTTTACTAAGAAATACACCCAAACAAACGCGATTTTCGCGATTTTTTTTTTTTTTTTTTTTGAGACGGGGGCCGGCCGGCGCTCCCGGCCGATATCTCGGAAGTAACTTATTCACCTAAGGTCCGAAGTGCTTCCTTTATTACTTAATTAAATGGAATAATATTCACAGACATTGTAGAATAATGATTTCTCTTATTTTGACCGTTGAGTTTTTGGAAATATTCCTAATACTTTGGGAGTTATGTGGGAGTAATGGGCAGATTTTTTTGCAATATTCCAGAACTAACAAACTTTATTTTTTTGTGAAATAACGGTAAGGTATTTTAGAGGAAATCTATCGGTCAAAATAAGTATTAGTATTGTACTCTCGGCACCAAGTGTCCAAACATTACGTAGCACCATATAAAAATGAAATCAACCCCAAGGGCATTTTCAGTAAATCAGTCTTTTCTCAGTTGTTGTTTGAGGTATATTTTTGATAAATATTTTCAATAAAGAGTGAGAACACTTTGTATTGTGTACCAAAACTGGAGAAAATCGGACGGTAAATAAACGAGTTAGGAATTTTGCCCTACAGCCCCCTTCAAGCTGGCACTGGACAAGCACCTAAAGTCGGTACCTGACCAGCCGGGCTGTGGGTCGTACATTGGTTTGCGTGCAGCCAGCAGTAACAGCCTGGTTGATCAGGCTCTGATCCACCAGGAGGCCTGGTCACAGACCGGGCCTCGGGGGCGTTGACCCCCGGAACTCTCTCCAGGTAAACTCCAGGTAATACTGTCACAATGAACCTTACTGCCTATAAGTAAATTCACAGATCTAAATGGATTGTGAAAACGTGCAATTGCATTAAGTTTAATAACCTGCATGAACTGTATCACTGTAACAAGAGCATTTCACCCCTCCATGGATGTGTTCATTTAATATCACATACCTGCAAGTGCCTCCCAAGAAGCTCATTGCTAGTAATCCCTTCCTTAAATCACTTGTTAAAGCAACTGCTTTGTGACATGTCAAGATATCTTATTAATGAAATAAGATACCAGATATACTAAGCAAATTTCCTAAATTTGCTTGTAGCAGATAAGTGAACTACAGGTATGTAGATATAAATCCATATGTATTCATGTTAACTCCTTGGGGCCTAGTTCCAAGGCCTTTTGTGTATCCATATGCTCTTGCGCTACCCTCCACAGGATGAATATGGGGTGCACAATAAACTAGCCACTTCGGTGGCAAAATCTAAAAAATCTAAAGGGCCCGGGTTCGATTCCCGGCGGGTGGAAGCATTTTGACACGTTTCCTTACGCCTGTTGTCCTGTTCACCAACAGCAAATAGGTACCTGGGTGTTAGTCGACTGGTGTGGGTGGCATCCTGGGGGACAAGATTTGAGGACCACAATGGAAATAAGTTACAGTCCTCGATGACGCACTGACTTTCTTGGGTTATTCTGGGTGGCTAATCCTCCCGGGTTTAAAAATCCGAACGAAATCTTGTATCTACGCATCCACAACTCTGTTAAAAAACCAGTACTTATCTATGTCCTTTCTAAATCTAAATTTATCCAACGTTTTAGCCTGTATAAGTGTACTGGGAAGTAAATAGTGTGCTGAAAATATCTAGCCTAGACAGGACTCGCAGCAATGGTTTTAAGTTGGAAAAATTCAGATTCAGGAAGGATATAGGAAAGTACTGGTTTGGTAATAGAGTTGTGGATGAGTGGAACAAACTCCCCAGTACAGTTATAGAGGCCAGAACGTTGTGTAGCTTTAAAAATAGGTTGGATAAATATGTGAAAATTTGTGTGGACTGCCTCCAAGTGAGTCACCTACCCTGGCAAACTCTGTTGACACAGAGCTCTGAGGTGGGTACCTCAGCCTCACAAGTGGCTTATAGGACAGATTTTCACAAATGATTGGTGTTGCAAGAAACTCGCCTGCATGCACGTATAAAGGACTAACTTACTTGGTGTTGCAGCATATATCCTGATCTTCAACTTCCCTAAGCTTAGCCTTAGCTTCTTTGGACTTCCCCTCAGAAACCACGTGCAACCGGGAGCCTTAATTCTGGGCATGCACTGCCTGCTGCACACTGGGCCCACAGATCAAACTCACTCACAATTCTCCCCAGACACTGGCCAGAAATCTATGAGATAAAGTGGAGGTCTTGTCTTACTGTATGGGCCTGACGGAGGTCATCTACGGTACACCGAGGTGCCTCTACCAGATTTCCCCAGGTCTCGAATGTGAAGACACATGGGGGGCACGTCTGCTGACCACGGCACGTCTTGTCCAGTTGGTGTCTGTCTTAAGAAGAACGCTATTGTGTCTTTGAGAACCCGCGCCTCGTCATTCAAGCTAGGGCTGCCAGTTCTCCCTAGCTAACTTAACCTAGTGTTTGCCTACATTATTGGCCTATTACTACCTATGTTAAGGTCTTAGGTCTACATTATTATTATCTACAGCTGCCTTAGTAAACCTAATATTAATATACTAACAGTAAAACTACCTACTCCTTCCCTGAAGGGTAAATCTATAAATTAAATAAGCTTACCAACCACGCCAACTCGGGGAGAAAGCTTTTGTTTGGGTGGGTTTAAGGGCCACCCAGCTCAGATGTTCCATTACGGCTATGCTGGGACCCCTTCGTACGCTGTATCTGTCCTGTGGAACTTTAGGGACCAAATAAATTTCCACAAAATACATGAGTGGGTGTGGGTGGGTGTGAGTTTGACCTGACTAGCTTGTGCTACTAGGTCAGTTGCCGCGTTCCTCCCTTAAGTCAATGTGACCTGACCTGACTAGGTTGGAGCATTGGCTTAAGCCGGTAGGAGACTTGGACCTGCCTCGCATGGGCCAGTAGGCCTGCTGCAGTGTTCCTTCGTTCTTATGTTCTTCTTCTTCTTATGTTCTTACCCAATACTTTCTTATATCCTTCCTAAATCTTAATTTTATTATGTATAATGTGCTAAAATATAACATTATAAGTTATTTAACTACTTGTTAAATATTGCTAAACCACTACTACCTCTGTTAATATATAAAAAACAAAGTTTAGAACCAACAATGATATATATGTCAAGTATTAAGTAGTCACCATCATAATGACTTTTTTCGTACTTATCAAATTAATATTGTAATTACACATTGTAAAATATACAAGGAAATAAACTCCTTAATTCTTAATTAAGGTCCTTGTAATATCTTTGTATATTTGGCGGTGAATATATAGAATATATGTAAAATATTCCAAAGTTTTTTATTTTTATTCATATTTTTAATTTAGTTTATTTTGTTTATTAGTTTTTTTCAAATAATTTAAGTAATATGAGTTGTAAATATTTATAGTTATGGTCGCTTCAGTTCTGCCAACCACCTGGTATGTAGAAACTAATTATGGAAAAAAATTTCTTGTATTTCCTTCAAATTTGGGTAATTTAAAATCATTTCGGACTTAAGCAAGCAGTTTATTATATCAAAAAAATATTTATTATTACTTATTTTGGTTAAATATTGAATGTTAGGCAGTGGAACGATGTATATTGGGGTGAGCAGGTTGGTAATGTTGGCCGGGCGGGTTGGAAGGGTTGGTAACACTGTTGTGTTGTATATGAAGAGTTAACATTATTGTTGTTGACGTTAATTTATTAACTTCAGAAGTTGGTAAGTTAATTTGTTAACTTCAGAAATTGTAAGTTAATTTTTAACTTCAGAAATTGGGAAGTTAATTTATTAACTTCAGAAATTGGTAGTTAATTTTTAACTTCAGTTGTTGGTTTAAATTAATTTTTAACTTCAGTAGTTGGTAAGTTAATTTTTAACTTCAGAAATTGGTAAGTTAATTTTTAACTTCAGTAGTTGGTAAGTTAATTTTTAACTTCAGTAGTTGGTAAGTTAATTTTTAACTTCAGAAGTTGGTAAGTTAATTTATTAACTTCAGAAGTTGGTAAGTTAATTTGTTAACTTCAGTAGTTGGTAAGTTAATTTGTTAACTTCAGTAGTTGGTAAGTTAATTTGTTAACTTCAGTAGTTGGTAAGTTAATTTATTAACTTCAGTAGTTGGTAAGTTAATTTGTTAACTTCAGAAGTTGGTAAGTTAATTTATTAACTTCAGTAGTTGGTAAGTTAATTTGTTAACTTCAGAAGTTGGTAAGTTAATTTGTTAACTTCAGAAGTTGGTAAGTTAATTTGTTAACTTCAGTAGTTGGTAAGAGTTCAAACAGTAATGTTTGGAGGTGGTAAAGTAGTTTGTCAACATTATTAGTGTTCCTCTTAACTGACTTAACTGACCAGCTGCTAAAAGATTTAAAGCAAACAGACAGGATATTGCAGCACTAAATGAATTCCAAAGGTGAGGAACAGAGTAGAGACTTATAAAAGGAGCAAAGGCAAAGCACTACTGCTCAAAAATTGAAGAATATAAGCATAACCCCAGAAAGCTCTGGCAACAACTAAAACATTTGGGGTATAGCCATAAGCCAGTAGATAGGTCTAACATAGTACTCACTATCGATAATGAGGTATGCCATGAAACATCTAAGGTGGCAAATTGCTTTAATTCCTACTACACATCTGTTGCATCAACACTAGTAAGTAAACTACCAGCTGCATCAAATACCTTTAACACAGACTCTGATAAGTTTCAAACATACTATACCAATAAAGGGGTAACCCCAAACAGTTGCCAACTAGTAAGAGTATCTCATGACTTTATTCAAAAAGAACTAAGCAGGTTAAACCCAACTAAGAGCACTGGCCCGGATAACATCCCGTCTAAGTTCCTAAAAGATGGTGCTTTGAACTGTCAATCCCTATTGCTACATAATAAATTATCAAGTCACCTTAATACCGTACCGGAGGGGTTCAAGGAGGCCAAGTTACTCCTATCAAGAAAAATAATAGGTCTGATGTAAGAAAACTATAGGCCTGTTAGTATACTCAGTATAATATCAAAAAATTCTAGAGAGGGCGGTGTATTCAAGTAGTTAAGTACCTTAATGACAACAACATTCTCCATAGCTATCAATCGGGCTTTAGAAGATCCTACTCAACTGATACCTCCCTTATTAATCTGATGGATTACCTGAGAACTGAAATGTCAAAAGGGAACCTCATAGGTATGGTAACCTTAGACCTGCAAAAGGCCTTCGATACTGTCAACCACAATATATTATGTAAGAAACTTCAATCTATCGGTATAGGTTCTGTAGACTGGTTTAAGTCCTACCTTAGTAACAGGAGACAAATAGTCAAAATCAACAAAACAGAATCAGAACCCCTGCCGATAACATGTGGAGTTCCCCAAGGTAGTATTCTGGGTCCCTTATTATTCTTATGTCAATGATATGCCTATCAGTGTCAAGTGCAAACTCCTACTGTATGCAGATGACAGTGCTCTGTCATCTGCATACAGGTAAAGACCCACAAGATATTGCTAATGTTTTAACACTGGAACTGGAGTCCTGCAGCAAATGGTTAGTAGACAACAAACTATCATTACACCTCGGGAAAACTGAAGCCATTCTCTTTGGAACGAAACATAAACTGAGAAGGGTAAATAATTTTAATGTTCAGTGTAATGGGGAGTCCATCACTTTGGTTTCATCAGTTAAATATCTGGGAATCCCCTTTGACCCATGCATGTCAGGAGAATTGATAGGGAACAGTGTAGTAAAGAAAGCGAATGCCAGGCTGAAGTTCCTGTATAGACAAGCACAGTGTCTACCTACTGAGGCTCGCCCGGACCCTATGTCTAGCCCTTATACAATGCCATATGGATTACGCTTGCTCTTCTTGGTACTCTGCCTTGACAAAAAAACTGAAAGACTGCAAATCACCCAGAACAAAATTGTAAGATTGATCCTGGGGCTGGGACCAAGAGAACATGTAGGCCAGGATGAATTACAGCAGTTGGATATGCTGAATGTTGAAAAACAGAGTAAAACAACTGAAGCTAAATCATGTTTATAAAATTGCTCACGAACAGTGTCCAGAATATCTTGCTGTCAATTTTGTCAAGGTTGGGAACCAAAGCAATCATAGTACTAGGGGGAGAGAGCACAACTTTGTAGTACCCACAGTCAGTGGCCAGGCTTCAAACACCTTTTATTGTACAGCAATAAAGGAATGGAACAGACTACCCACAAATGTCAAGGCCAGTCATAGCTTGAACCAGTTCAAGAAGACTGCCAAAAAGTGTCTGATGAATGAAGCAACAGAAAGGGAGGGGAATGATTTTCTATTTTTTAGCTAAAATACGTGTAAATTTTACCTTATCCCTAGTAAATGACCCTCGTATTGTAGATAGTCTTAATGACCCTCGGGTAGTAGATAGTCTTAATGACCCTCGTATTGTAGATAGTCTTAATGACCCTCGTATTGTAGATAGTCTTAATGACCCTCGTGTAGTAGATAGTCTTTTTAGTATGATAATAAGATGTTATCTTCATTATAGAATAATAAGAAAATATTATAACCTTTATATTATAATAATAAGGTAAAAGGACCCCAATGGAAATAAGTCACTCTGTCTGACTTTTTTGGGTTATCCTGGGTTCTCTACACATATGCTGCTATGTATGATAATTCTATGTAACTGTATTGTGTATACCTGAATAAATTTACTTACTTACTTACTTACTTACTAAACTTTATGTAATAACTGTAAGAATAATTTACTTACTTACTTACTTACTTACTTACTTACTTACTAAACTTTATGTAATAACTGTAAGAATAATTTACCTTCCTCAGCTTCCTCGGATCAAACTTCACATCTAAACTTTATGTAATAACTGTAAGAATAATTTACCTTCCTCAGCTTCCTCGGATCAAACTTCACATCTAAACTTTATGTAATAACTGTAAGAATAATTTACCTTCCTCAGCTTCCTCGGATCAAACTTCACTTTTAGACTCCCTGGCGATGTAAGTTTGTTATTCTGGTACAAATATACATAAATTATCACATGTATGTAGCTTAGCTAAGCTAAATCCCTGGCAAAAACAGCCAGAGTGGAATAATGTCCCATTGTAGTTGTTTGTGAAGGAAGGTTCTTGTTGTAGGTGAAACAAATGGACCTAACATTTAGTTGGGATTTTTAACCCGGGAGGGTTAGCCACCAGGCCACTTACACTCTCATACACTCATACACTCTCATACACTCACACTCATACACTCTCATACACTCTCATACACTCTCATACACTCGCATACACTCTCATACACTCTCATACACTCTCATACACTCTCATACACTCTCATACACTCTCATACACTCTCATACACTCTCATACTCTCATACACTCATACACTCATACACTCTCATACACTCTCATACACTCTCATACACACTCATACACTCTCATACACTCTCATTCACTCTCATCACTCTCATACTCTCTCATACTCTCATACACTCATACACTCATACACTCTCATACACTCATACTCTCTCATACTCTCATACACTCTCATACTCTCATACACTCATACACTCATACACTCTCATACACTCTTATACACTCTCATACACTCTCATACACACTCATACACACTCATACACTCTCATACACTCTCATACACTCTCATACACTCTCATACACACACATACACTCTCATACACTCTCATACACTCACGCTCTCATACACTTAATGGCAATGTAAAGCATTTTAGACTTGCCATTGTTTGCAAGACTTATTATACTTGTATTATACTTGTATTAACTGCATAGAAATACTGTTTTATTTAGGTGAGAAGTGCATTGTGTGAAGGTTTATGTTGCAGTTTGCAGTTGTTTCAACTACAGTGGACCCCCGCATAGCGAACGCCTTGCATAGCGAACAATCCGCATAGCGAACGCTTTGTTCGCTAAAATTTTGCCCCGCATAGTGGACAAAAACCCGCTCAGCGACCTTCGTCCGAGACGCGTCCAATGTGCGGCCTCAGCCAGCCTCACATGGCCAGCCCGTCCCATTGTTTACCAGCCAGCCTCCGCGGTAAACATTCAAGCATACTTACACGGAATATTTCGTATTATTACAGTGTTTTCCGGTGCTGTTTCTGGAAATAAGTGACCATGGCCCCAAGAAAGCTTCTAGTGCCAACCCTGTGGTAAAAAGGGGGAGAATTAGTATGGAAATTAAGAAAGATTTTGAAGGTTTGGGCTAACCCTGAGAAGCTATGCCAGTTGTGGAATCCATTGTGCCTACTTCAAAAATTAAGGAAATGTTTTGCACAGTGGGTTGAACTGCAAACCTTTATGGATGAAAATCACCCTGACACAGCTGTTGCAAGCCGTGCTGGTGACTATTTCAATGACAATGTTGTGGCCAATTTTAGACAAATCGTAAAGGAACGGGAGGTTACAGAGCTCTATGGACAGATTTGTTGTGCGACAGAGGTCCAGTGACTCTCAAGCTGGTCCTAGTGGCATTAAAAGAAGAAGGGAAGTAACCCCGGAAAAGGACTTGCTACCTCAAGTCCTAATGGAAGGGATCCCCTTCTAAACACTAACACTCTCTCTCCCCTCCTCCCATCCCATAAAATCATCACCAGATCTTCAATAAAAGTAAGTGTCATGTAATTGTGCATGCCTTTTTCAGTTTGTGTGTACTAAAATTAACATTTTTTTGTGGTAAAAAAAATTTTTTTTCATACTTTTGGGTGTCTTGCACGGATTAATTTTATTTCCATTATTTCTTATGGGGAAAATTAATTCGCATAGCGAACATTTCGCATAACGACCAGCCCTCTTGCACGGATTAAGTTCGCTATGCGGGGGTCCACTGTATATCTATGTCCTTCTGGGTACCAGTGAAGGAGTCAGTGAAAGTATTTTCTGTCAGGTCTCACTACCTTCTTCAGTCTTAAATAATTTAACTTTTAACAGTAGTTTTTCTAGTACATTTTGTAGAAATTACCCTAGGATAACCTGTTAAAGTACTTAAGATAATGTTTATTAACTACCCTAGGATAACCTGTTGAAGTACTTAAGATAATGTTTATTAACTACCCTAGGATAACCTGTTAAAGTACTTAAGATAATGTTTATTAACTACCCTAGGATAACCTGTTGAAGTACTTAAGATAATGTTTATTAACTACCCTAGGATAACCTGTTAAAGTACTTAAGATAATGTTTATTAACTACCCTAGGATAACCTGTTAAAGTACTTAAGATAAAGTTTATTAACTACCCTAGGATAACCTGTTAAAGTACTTAAGATAAATGTTTATTAACTACCCTAGGATAACCTGTTAAAGTACTTAAGATAATGTTTATTAACTACCCTAGGATAACCTGTTAAAGTACTTAAGATAATGTTTATTAACTACCCTAGGATAACCTGTTAAAGTACTTAAGATAATGTTTATTAACTACCCTAGGATAAACCCGTTAAAGTACTTAAGATAATGTTTATTAACTACCCTAGGATAACCTGTTTTAAAATACTTAAGATAATGTTTATTAACTACCCTAGGATAACCTGTTTTAAGTACTTAAGATAATGTTTATTAACTACCCTAGGATAACCTGTTTTAAAATACTTAAGATAATGTTTATTAACTACCCTAGGATAACCTGTTGAAGTACTTAAGATAATGTTTATTAACTACCCTAGGATAACCTGTTAAAGTACTTAAGATAATGTTTATTAACTACCCTAGGATAACCTGTTAAAGTACTTAAGATAATGTTTATTAACTACCCTAGGATAACCTGTTAAAGTACTTAAGATAATGTTTATTAACTACCCTAGGATAACCTGTTAAAGTACTTAAGATAATGTTTATTAACTACCCTAGGATAACCTGTTAAAGTACTTAAGATAATGTTTATTAACTACCCTAGGATACCTGTTAAAGTACTTAAGATAATGTTTATTAACTACCCTAGGATAACCTGTTAAAGTACTTAAGATAATGTTTATTAACTACCCTAGGATAACCTGTTAAAGTACTTAAGATAATGTTTATTAACTACCCTAGGATAACCTGTTAAAGTACTTAAGATAATGTTTATTAACTACCCTAGGATAACCTGTTAAAGTACTTAAGATAATGTTTATTAACTACCCTAGGATAACCTGTTAAAGTACTTAAGATAATGTTTATTAACTACCCTAGGATAACCTGTTAAAGTACTTAAGATAATGTTTATTAACTACCCTAGGATAACCTGTTAAAGTACTTAAGATATGTTTATTAACTACCCTAGGATAACCTGTTAAAGTACTTAAGATAATGTTTATTAACTACCCTAGGATAACCTGTTAAAGTACTTAAGATAATGTTTATTAACTTTACAGAACTGAAATTGTGTTGAAGCCAGAATAATGGTCAAGTTTCTTTCTCAAGTGGACAGTGAGGCCTCAGTAACTCCCATGTTAGACATTTTGAAGGGTAAGTTTATCCATCAGAGGAATACCATGCACTCTTAATATAATATAATATAATAGTGGTACCCCGAGTTTCGTACATAATTCATTCCAGAACAGTTTTAAAGTGCCATTACGAAACGAATTTGTTCCCATAAGGAATGTAAATTATATTAGTCCGTTTCAGACCCCCAAAAACACTTGCAAAAGCACTTACAATAATACACTTACATAATTGTTAGAGTTGGAAGCAGTATGAAACTTGGGGTACCACTGTAATCCTTTATTGTATTGTCAATAAAGAATTCCATTAATACATTTATCTTGCCATATAGTCAATATTTTATTCCATTTCTCTCCTGTTTTCTGATATTGTTTCAAAACTTCTCCAGGTTGGCCTACAGTAATATTTTGGTATTGCAGTTAAGCAGTTCAGTTATTCTTGGAATCATTTTCTTACTGCTGAATGATTTGCAATAATGAATTGGCAGTATTACTCCAAACTGGAATCTGAAGGAATATGCAGAAGAGCTGTCTGCTCAAAATTATTTTGAAGGCATATTAAGATATTCAAGCAGACAAATATACTGGCAGATGTTTGACAGATTTCACCCTTAACCCTCATGGTGTTAAATGTGAGCAATGTAACATTTATGAAGGGATTCAGGAAACTAGCAGCCTGGACTCCAGTCCTGGAGATTGGAAGTACAGTAGAGTGTTTGCACTCAGGAGGGATGTTAATGTTGCAGTTTTATAACTGTAGTGTAAGCACACCTCTGGCAAGACAGTGATGGAGTGATGAAAGCTTTTATTTTTTTGGGCCTCAATACCTTGGTGGGAGACGGCCAATATGTTAAAAAAAAAAATAAATAAAAAATATCGTGAGTCTAATATGAGTATATGCTAAACAACTGTCATTGAATAAGTAAATAAATAATTACTGTAACTATAAATACTTTATTGAAAGTAAATAAATGAATAAGTTACAAACTTTGTGCTGGGTAACTATCTTGTGCTTCATCTCCAAAGTAATTAATTGCTTTTGAACCATCATAAAGCCAAAGTATTGTAAATCAAACCAACGCGAGTCGAGGAGCACCTGTATGTTAGTTGTTTCAACGTTATAATCGGCGCAATGAAGATTTCATACATTTATTTCAGAAAAGAAGAAAAAGAAAAAGGTGAAGGAAGTTGAAGAATCAGAATACACAACCTATGAAAACCTACAACCTGAAGAACCTGAGGAGTGTAAGTAGATTTTATTTAGAAGCAGCAAAAAATATTTTGTGAATTTTGAAGTCCTGTATCATGAGGCCTCACTAGTGAAGTATAGAGCTGTAAAATAACTTTTGGACTTCTGTTACTAATATTTTCTTGAGATAAATCAAAGTAATGTTAGCCTAAAGTTGGATAAATTTAGATTTAGAAAGGACATACGTAAGTACTGGTTCTCTAACAGTCATGGATGTGTGGAGCAATCTTCCCAGTAGGGTGATACAAGCTAAGCCCTTGGGTAGCTTTAACCCTTAAACGCTCGAAACAGATCAAAGTTCAAATTCGTAGTGCTACAAAAGTAGATCTACTTTTTTTTACATACTTCCAAATATAACAAAAATGTAGATTAAAACTTTTTACACATTTTCAAATGTAAAACAAAAAAAATCTACATTTTTTTATATGCTTTCAGATGTTGAAAAAATGAATATACATTTAAACCGTTTAAGGGTTAAAAAGATTGGACAAATATATGAGTGAGAGGGGCTGGGTTTAACTGGTGTCATTGGGTACGAGAGTTAATTCTTGGGTAGCTTTGGGTAGAGGACGTTTTGATAAGGACCTGCCTTGTATGGGCCAGTAGGCCTTCTGCAGTGTTCCTCCATTCTTGTTTTGATACGGTACTGTTAAATATAAAGGTTTGATAAAAAAACCATCATACTGGTTTATAGATGGTTTGCATTGCCAATTAGTCTGCTGTAAAATTTTTAATTAGTTCCTAAATGCCCACTTTGTAAGTGCAGATCACTTAAAGAGGTAGTGTCTTGATACCAGTGAAACACTCTTGATTCAAGAAATTAAAATATCCTCCCTTTCTTGGAATTTAATGTCTGCCATCACCAAGGTGCTGTGTGACCCTTAATATGGTGGTCGTGCATAAGAGAAGTTGGGGCAAAATGATTCTTTTTTAACCCTTTCAGGGATCAGGAGCTCTATGGTCAAACTTGCTCTCATGGTTGGAAAAATTTAAGAAAAAATACTTTCTTGTGAAATGGTGAATTGTTTTCTGAAGATAATAAAACTGCCAATTTTGATGGAAAACTGACAAAATTATGCCTTTTGCAAATTTTGCTGTTTCGGCGACACTTGCACAGTGGCAGTTTTGCTCACTCGAGTCCATTTTTTGGGCCAATTACAATATTCCAGTCTATCAGATTCTTAACTGTTTTGCTAGAATGCCTTCCATTCTATCAACTGTAAAAGAAACCACCCATTCAACTATTTAAACTATGCAATAGTCACTTGGCAAATTTCACAAAAATTTCAAGAGATACCAATTTTAAAAAGGGGTCCAGAATAAACATTGCAAACATTCCTAGCACTAAAATAACATTTCCTCTTCATTAGTTAGGTCCCCAGAGGCCTCTCTGATAGTACATGTGAATTCCATTTAGAATTTTTATTCACACAAAATAGAAAATTTACTGTTAGATTAGTGCATTATTGTAATAACTGTATAAGTAATGTCAGTGCAATCCTAAAAGCATATTAGACTGGACAGATGGACACAGTGGACAAATGATGTCATTTGTGTACTCTGGAACATCAGCAAAAATAGAACATTCTGCTATTTTTACCTCAATTTCAAGCCTCTTTTAGTCTTGAAACTGATCAGAATCATGTTTCTGTGATTTCTTCCATTCTATCAAATGAGACCAAGAAACTGATAATACAACCATAAAAACCACATGAAAATATATTGCAAAATCACTGCTTTAAACCAAAAAATTTTTTTGCCCATAGTGCACTGCTTGCTGCAGGAATTTTTTTATATTGTGCACACTTGTTACATAGACCCATTCTCTCATACCTAGGCCCAAATTTACTACTCGCAGCTTATCTGAGTGAGCTAAACTCGTGGCGTAGAACTACGGGACCAGCCTGGACTTCAATGGCATAGAACACTGGAACCCACCCTCAAAGCAGTTAAAAATTAAGTTTTTCTGAATAACTCTTAATTTCACAATGCTGTTGAAAATAAATTATAGCAAATTATTTAACAAAGCATCAGTATCATTACCCCATGTTGCATAGCCTTTTTAGGGATTAAAATGTATTATCCAAATAGTTCTTTTTATAATCTCGTAATAGTGATTCTGTTGTGTAGCAATTTTGAGAATTTACTTTTAAGAAGCAATGCACAATTTCTACACTTTCATGCAAATTTTATTTTCAGTATTGCCAAAAAAGAAGAAAAAGAAGAAAAGGAAGCATGAAGAAAACTGGGAGACGACTAACTTAAGCATGGACAACCAAGAGGATGTTGAAGCAGAGAACCAGATAATGGAAACAGTGGTAAAAGAAAAGACGAAGAAAAAGAAGAAACACAGGTTAGAAAATGAGGTACAAGAAGAAAATGCTGGATTTATAAAACCTGAAGAATGTAAAGAAAAGATGGTGAGTACTGCCAGTTTATAATACTCAATTATGGATTAAGAAAAAGGTCTCGGCTATAACATTTGTGTAGCCCATTACAGAAGGGCCTTGCTTATACAGTAGGTTTAGATTCCAGGCTACTGCTGTAAAGTGAAACACCTTTTTTTTTTCTCTTAAATGCATGTAAAAGCCTGAGAACATGTTTACACTGAGCAGTAGTTAGGCCTAAAAAATGCATATACAGTATACCTGGAGTTTACCTGGAGAGAGTTCCGGGGGTCAACGCCCCCGCGGCCCGGTCTGAGACCAGGCCTCCTGGTGGATCAGAGCCTGATCAACCAGGCTGTTGCTGCTGGCTGCACGCAAACCAACATACGAGCCACATTACTGTTTTTTTAAACAAGTCGGCCGTCTCCCACCAAGGCAGGGTGTCCCAAAAGAAAATCACCAAAAAGAAAATACTTTCATTATTTAACACTTTTGCCTCACGCTCACACATAATCACTGTTTTTGCAGAGGTGCTCAGAATACAACAGTTTAAAGTATATACATACAAAGATGCACAACTTATCCCTCCAATCTGCCATATCCCAAACCCCTCCTGTAAATTGCAGACATTGTACTTCCCATTTCCAGGGCTAGTCTGGCTATATAAAATAACCGGTTTCCCCGAATCCCTTCACTAAATATTACCCTGCTCACACTCCAACAGCTTGTCAGGTCCCAAATACCATTCGTCTCCATTCACTCCTATCTAACAAGCTCAAGCACGCTTGCTGGAAGTCCAAGCCCCTCACCCACAAAACCTCCTTTACCCCCTCCCTCCAACCTTTCCGAGGACAACCCCTACCCCACATTCCTTCCCCTACAGATTTATACGCTCTCCAAGTTATTCTACTTTCATCCATTCTCTCTAAATGACCAAACCACCTCAACCCCTCTTCAGCCCTCTGACTAATACTTTTATTAACTCCACACCTTCTTCTAATTTCCACACTCCAAATTTTCTGCATATTTACACCACACATTGCCCTTAGAGAGGACATCTCCACTGCCTCCAACTGCCTCCTGACTGCAGCATTTACAACCAAAGCTTCACACCCATATAAGAGTTGTACAAGAATGGTATACAATTCTGACAAGATGAAATTAAGACATGTGCAACATCTGGGTATCTTCATTGTAGACTTTTCGCCATCCAGTAGCTTTATCAACACAAATTCCAGGACTTAACTAGAAGACAATAGAACTATATACAGAAGATGAGGTAATCAGTCCCTTAACCTTGACGTTAGTATGTGAGCGCCAGGCTCCTTGCTTCTGCTTCAGAATCTCCACGACTACGGTGCTCTTCACACCTACGCCAAGGTTGAGGGACTGATTATCTCATCTGTATATAGTCCTATTGTCTTCTAGTTATGTCCTGGAATTTGTATTGATAAAGCCACTGGATGGCAAAATGTCTTCAACAAAGATACCCAGATGTTGCACATGTCTTAATTTCACCATATAAGAGTGTTGGTACCACTATACTTTCATACATTTCCTTCTTTGCCTCCATAACACTTTATTTTATTTTTTATTATCACACTGGCCGATTCCCACCAAGGCAGGGTGGCCCGGAAAAGAAAAACTTTCACCATCATTCACTCCATCACTGTTTTTAAACTGCAACATTAACACCCCTCCTTCATAGTGCATGCACTGTGCTTCCCATCTCCAGGATTCAAGTTCAACCTGCCGGTTTCCCTGAACCCCTTCATAAATGTTACTTTGCTCACACTCCAACAGTACGTCAAGTATTAGAAACGATTTGTCTCCATTCACTCCTATCAAACACGTTCACGCATGCCTGCTGGAAGTCCAAGCCTCTCGCACACAAAACCTCCTTTACCCCCTCCCTCCAACCTTTCCTAGGCCAACCCCTACCCTGCCTTCCTTCCACTACAGACTGATACACTCTTGAAGTCACTCTGTTTTGCTCCATTCTTTCTACATGTCCGAACCACCTCAACAACACTTCCTCAGCCCTCTGGACAACATTTTTGGTAATCCTGCACCTCCTCCTAACTTCCAAACTATGAATTCTCTGCATTATGTTCACACCACACCTTGCCCTCAGACATGATATCTCCACTGCCTCCAGCCTTCTCCTCGCTGCAACATTCATCACACATGCTTCTCACCCATATAAGAGCGTTGGTAAAACTATACTCTCATACATTCCCCTCTTTGCCTCCAAGGACAAAATTTTTTTGTTTTCCACAGAAATCCTAATTGCACCACTCACTCTTTTTCCCCTCATCAATTCTATGATTCACCTCATGTTTCATAGACCCATCCGCTGACAGTCCCCTTTCCCAAATATCTGAATACATTCACCTTCTCCATACTCTCTCCTCCAATCTGGGTATCCAATTTTTCGTCACCTAAAACTTTTTGTTTTTCCTCATAACCTTACTCTTTCCTGTATTCACTTTTAATTTTCTTCTTTTGCCCCACCTACCAAATTCATCCACCAATTCTGCAACTTCTCTTCAGAATCTCCCAAGAGCACAGTGTCATCAGCAAAGAGCAGCTGTGCCAACTCCCACTTTGTGGGGATTCTTTATCTTTTTAACTCCCCGCCTCTTGCCAAGACCCTCGCAATTTACTTCTCTTACAACCCCATCTAAAAATATATTAAACAACCACGGTGACATCACCCCATCCTCTTCTAAGGCCCACTTTTACTGGGAAATAATTTCCCCTTTCCTACATACTCTAAACTTGAGCCTCATATCTTGTAAAAACTCTTCACTGCTTTCAGTAACCTACCTCCTACAACCATACAAACCCGCAACATCTGCCACATTGCCCCCCCTATCCACCCTGTCATACCCTTTTCCAAATCCATAAATGCCACAAAGACCTCTTTAGCCTTATCTAAATACTGTTCACTTATATGTTTCACTGTAAACACCTGGTTCACACACCCCCTACCTTTCCTAAAGCCTCCTTGTTCATCTGCTGTCCTATTCTCCGTCTTATTCTTAATTCTTTCAATAATAACTCTACCATACATTTTACCAGGTATACTCAACAGACTTATCCCCTTATCCCTAGGTACCTTACCCTCTTCTATACATTTATTAAATAATTGCACCAACCACTCCAAAACTATATCCCCACCTGCTTTTAACCCTTTGAGGGTTTTCGTCGTACTAGTACGTCTTACGCGTAGGGGTTTTTGACGTACTAGTACTCATAAATTCTAGCGACCTCAAATCTAGTGGGAGAAAGCTGGTAGGCCTTCATATGAAAGAATGGGTCTATGTGGTCAGTGTGCACAGTCTAAAAAAAATCCTGCAGCACACAGTGCATAATGAGAAAAAAAAAACTTTTTCCATTTTTTTTTAATAAATCAGCGACTTTGCAGTGTATTTTCGTATGGTATTTATTGTTGTATTCTAGTTTTCTTGGTCTCATTTTATAGAATGGAAGACATATTACTAGAAATTGAGATGATTTTGACTGGTTTTACAATGAAGGTGCCTTGAAATTGAGCTCAAAGTAGCAGAAATGTTCGATTTTTACCAAACTTCAAAAGTAAACAAATCGTGCCAAGCGTGCAATACACGTCAACTGGTGAGTCTAATATTCTTTCACAAGTGCACCAATAATATTTATACCATTTTTTACACTAATGCAGTAGTCTGCATAACAGTAAATCTTATATTTTTTGTGAGAATAAAAATTCAAAGTGGAAAGCAAAAGAATATAAGAGGGGCCTTGAGACGTGACTAATGACTAGAGGAAATGTCATTTAGTGGCCAGGAATGTCTTTCTTGTTTATTCTGGACCCTATTCCGAAATTGGCATCTTTTGAAAATTTGTGTGAAATTGGCAAAATTGCTAAATTCTGACCACTGTAACTGGATAGTTGAATTTATAAATGGGTGGTTTCTTGCACCCATTCGATAGAAAAAATGGAGTTCTAGCGAAATATTCATGTTTTTTGTCGACTAGTACAGTGAAATTGGCCGAAAATGGGGCTCAAAGTGGGCAAAATCGCCGATCCGTAAACATCGCCGAGACCGCTAACTTTGCGAGAGCATAATTCCGTAAGTTTTCTATCAAATTTCAAACTTTTGGTGTCGTTATGATCGGGAAAAGATTCTCTATCTTTTCATAAGAGAAAATAATTTTTTTTTTTTTTTAAATTTGGCCGACCCTGAGAACGAGTTTCGGAGAGGGCCTGTCGACCCTCAAAGGGTTAACATTTCTATCTTTATCCCATCAATCCCGGCTGCCTTACCCCCTTTCATTTTACCTACTGCCTCACGAACTTCCCCCAAACTCACAACTGGCTCTTCCTCACTCCTACAAGATATTATTCCTCCTTGCCCTATACACGAAATGACAGCTTCCCTATCTTCATCAACATTTAACAATTCCTCAAAATATTCCCTCCATCTTCCCAATACCTCTAACTCTCCATTTAATAACTCTCCTCTTCTATTTTTAACTGACAAATCCATTTGTTCTTAGGCTTCCTTAACTTTTTAAAATCTCACTCCAAAACTTTTTTTATTTTCAACAAAATTTGGGTTGATAGCATCTCACCCAGTCTCTCATTTGCTCTCTTTTAACATTGCTTCACCATCTCTTAACCTCTCTTTTTTTCTCCATTTTCTCTTCTCTCCTTGCATCACTTCTACTTTGAAAAAACTTCTCATATGCTAACTTTTTTCCCTTACTGCTCTTTTTTACATCATCATTCCCCAAATGCCCTCTTCCCCCCCACACCCCCTTTCCTGTAACCACAAACTTCTGCTGAACACTCTAACACTACATTTTTAAACCTACCCATACCTCTTCGACCCCATTGCCTATGCTCTCATTAGCCCATCTATCCTCCAATAGCTGTTTATATCTTACCCTACTGCTCATCTTTTAGTTTATAAACTTCACCTCTCTTTTCCCTGATGTTTTCTATTCTCTTGTACCCCATCTTCCTTTTACTCTCAGTGAGCTACAACTAGAGAGTGACTGATATATCTGTGGCCCCTCTATAAACATGTACATTCTGAAGTCTACTCAACAGTCTTTTATCTACCAATACATATCCAACAAATTTACTGTCATTTCGCCCTACATCATATCTTGTATATTTATTTATCCTCTTTTTCTTAAAATATGTATTGCCTATAACTAAACCCCTTTCTTATACAAAGTTCAATCAAAGGGCTCCCATTACATTTACCCCTGGCACCCGAAACTTACCTACCACACCCTCTCTAAAAAGTTTTTCCTACTTTAGCTTCAGGTCACCTACCACAATTACTCTCTCATTTGGGTTTCAAAGGCTCCTATACATTCACTTAACATCTCCCAAAATCTCTCTCTCTCCTCTACATTCCTCTCTTCTCCAGGTGCATACACGCTTATTATGACCACTTTTCACATCCAACCTTTACTTTAACCCACATAATTCTTGAATTTTTACACATTCATATTCTCTTTTCTCCTTCCATAACTGATCCTTCAACATTACTGCTTCCTTCCTTTGCTCTAACTCTCTCAGATACTCCAGATTTAATCCCATTTTTTTCCCCTCCACCGAAAATCCCTACCCTCTTCAGCTTTGTTTCGCTTAGGGACAGGACATCCAACGTCTTTTCATTTATAAAAATCAGCAATCATCTGTTTTCTTGTCATCCGCACTACATCCACGCACATTCAAGCATCCCAGTTTTATAAAGTTTTTCTTCTCTTTTTTAGTAAATATCTACAGGAGAAGGGGTTACTAGCCCATTGCTCCCGGTATTTTAGTCGCCTCATACAACACGCATGGCTTACGGAGGAAAGATTCTTTTCCACTTCCCCATGGACAATAGAAGAAATAAAGAAGAACAAGACTATTTAGAAAAAGGAGAAAAACCTAGATGTATGTATATATATATATATGCATGTGCGTGTCTGTGAAGTGTGACCAAAGTGTAAGTAGGAGTAGCAAGATATCCCTGTTATCTAGCGTGTTATAATACAGGAAAAGAAACCAGCAATCCTACCATCATGCAAAACAGTTACAGGTTTCTGTTTCACAGTCATCTGGCAGGACGGTAGTACTTCCCTGGGTGGTTGCTGTCTACCAACCTACTACCTACTACATTTTGTCTCCACATATACCTCAATGCACCACTCACCTTGTTTCCTTCATAAATTCTATGATTTAACCTCATCTTTCATAAATCCAGCCACTGACACGTCAACTCCCAAATATCTGAAAACATTCACTTCCATACTCCTCCTTAGTTTGATATCCAATTTTTCTTTAAATAATTTATTACCCTCTTCACCCTACTCTTTTTCTATGTTCACTTTCAACTTTCTACCTTTACACACCCAAATTCGTCCACTAACCTTTGCAAATTTTCTTTAGAATCCCCCATAAGCACAGTATCATCAGCAAAGTAACTGTCACTTCCCATTTTGCATTTGATTCCCCATAATTTAATTCCACCCCTCTCCCGAACACCCTATCACTTACTTTTACAACCCCATCTATAAATATATTAAACAACCATGGTGACATTACACATCCCTGTCTAAGACTTAAGACCTCTCTTCTACACACCCTAACCTCAGTCTCACTATCCTCATAAAAACTTTACAGCATTTAGTAACTTACCACCTATTCCATATACTTGCAACATCTTCCACTTTGCTCCCCTATCCACTATCATGCCTTTTCTAAATCCATAAATGCAATCAAAACTTCCCTAACTTTATCTACTGTTCACATATATGATTCAATGTAATCACTTGATCTACACATCCCCTAACCACTCTAAAACCTCCTTGCTCATCCGCAATTCTACATTCTGTCTTGCCTCTAATTCTTTCAATAATAACCCTACCATATACTTTTCCTGGTATATTTAGTAAACTTATTCCTCTATAATTTTTACAATCTCTTTTGTCCCCCTCCCTTTATATAAAGGGACTATACATGCTCTCTGCCAATCCCTAGGTACCTTCCCCTCTTTCAACAATACCAACCACTCCAACACAATATCCCCCCCCCCTGTGCTTTTAACATTTGTCATGATCCTGTCAGTTACAGATGCTTTACCCCCTTTCATTCTATGTAATGCCTCGTGCACCTCCACCACACTCACGTCCTACTATTCTTTACTCCTAAATGATGGTATACTTCCCTGGCCAGTGCATAAAATTACTGCCTCCCTTTCTTCATAGACATTTAAAAGTTCCTCAAAATATTCTCGTCATCTACCCAATACCTCCATCTCTCCATCTACTAACTCCCCTACTGTTTTTAACTGACAAACCCCATTCATTCCCTAGGCTTTCTTAGCTTGTTTAACTCACCCCAAAATTTTTTCTTATTCTAATTAAAATTTCTTGAGGGGTCTCCCATCTATCATCTGCTCTCCTTTTGAAACTCGCCACAGCAACCACCCAGGGAGGTACTACAGCCCTGCAAGAGAATGTAAAACAAAAGCCTGTAATGTTTTAAATGATGGTGGTTTTGCTGGTGTCTTTTGTCTGTCTCATAAATATGCAAGATTACAGGTATGTCTTGCTACTTCTACTTACACTTGGGTCACACTTCACATACATGGACATGTTTTTTTATACACATTCATCTGAGTTTTTTTTTATTTTATCTTAATAGATCTTTTTCTTATTACTTTTCCCTTTATATCCATGGGTAAGTGGAATAAGAATCTTTCCTCCGTAAGCCATGCATGTTGTAAAAGTCAACTAAAATGCCGGGAACAATGGGCTAGTAACCCCTTTTCCTGTAATTATTACTAAAAAGAATAAGTGAAACACATTACCTGCCTTAAAATATTTTCGTCCTCAGTTTATCGTGAGTGGTGAATATATTTATTATAGGAAGTCTGAATAAATGAAATGAGTATAATTAAAAACTGCTGCATTGGCAAAACATTGTAAAATGAAGTGCTGCAAAGTGGGGCCCTCCTGTACACTGAAAATAATGAATTTTCAACATTTTGGTATAAAATAAGAAATGTGGGATGGAGGGTATCGTGCTAGTGAAGGTTCATGATACACAGAACTGTTTACCTTCTTTCTTTTCATAAATATTGATACTGTTGGAATGTTTGCCAGTGAATACATACACAACTAATGAGACACTTTATTGTTGCCGTTTTGTTCTCCATGAGTTTTGTCCGGCTAATAGGCTTGATAATGCTCCTGGAGAGTGGAATGTAGCCATCATAAAATGTTTTAACCTATCACAATGTTGGTAATTTTCTAACATTATAATATCTGGCAAGAATAAGATTCAATAGGACTGACAATATAACAAACTAAATGCTGAAGGTAGGCCACACAGAGCATAGCTTGGTATTAATAATCTTTCATGGGAGGTCCCTTGCTCTTGATTCAAGAAATTGGAGCCACACTTTCCTTACATTACACGTGGTTGCTTCCTAGGCACTGTAATCCCAGCAGGTAGTCTAGTGCTTCCTCAAGAATATAATGATAATCTGTTAAAGTGGTTAATGGCCAATTACTTACACAGTATTTGTTTTGCAGCAATCGGAAGTTTCTCTGCCCCAGACACCAGAGACAACTCGTGTCACAACTCCAAAAAAGCGTCCACTTGACCAAGAAAGTACATCAAAAAAGAAGAAACGCAGAAGTCTTGATTTATCAAACAAGGAAATGAACATAGAGCCTGAAGAGGATGCTGGGAAGGATGAGATTTTGGGTATGTTCATAAAGAAATCTTAAATGCAGACCTGTGCAGTAATGTTTATATATTATATTATATATATATATATATAATATATATATATATATGTATATATATATATATATATATATTTTTATATATATATATATATTTATAATATATATATATATATTTATATATATATATATTTATATATATATAAAATATAAAATATATTATATATTATATATATAAAATTTATATATATATATATAATATTTTATTATATTTTTATTATATTATCACATGGCCGATTCCCACCAAGGCAGGGTGGCCTGAAAAGAAAAACTTTCACCATCATTCAATCATCACTGTCTTGCCAGAAGGGTGTTTTTACACTACAGTTTTTAAACTGCAACATTAACACCCTCCTTCAGAGTGCAGGCACTGTACTTCCATCCCCAGGACTCAAGCCCGGCCTGCCGGTTTCCCTGAATCCCTTCATAAATGTTACTTTGCTCACACTCCAACAGCCCCTTTCAAGTATTAAAACCATTTGTCTCCATTCACTCCTATCAAACACGCTCACGCATGCCTGCTGGAAGTCCAAGCCCCTCGCACACAAAACCTCCTTTACCCCCTCCCTCCAACCCTTCCTAGGCCGACCCCTACCCCGCCTTCCTTCCACTACAGACTGATACATCTTGAAGTCATTCTGTTTCGCTCCATTCTCTCTACATGTCCAAACCACCTCAACAACCCTTCCTCACCCCTCTGGACAACAGTTTTGGTAAATCCCGCACCTCCTCAAACTTCCAAACTACGAATTCTCTGCATTATATTCACACCACACATTGCCCTCAGACATGACTCTCCCACTGCCCCAGCCTTCCCCTCGCTGCAACATTCATTCCCCCACGCTTCACACCCATATAAGAGCGTTGGTAAAACTATACTCTCATACATTCCCCTCTTTGCCTCCAAGGACAAAGTTCTTTGTCTCCACAGACTCCTAAGTCCCAACCACTCACTTTTTTCCCTCATCAATTCTATGATTCACCTCATCTTTCATGATGACATCATAGACATTGCTTTACCACTCTCTTAACTTTTCTCTTTTTTCCATATTTCTCTTCCCTCCTTGCATCACTTCTCTTTGTAAAACTTCTCATATGCTAACTTTTTCTCCCTTTACACTCTATTTACATCATCATTCCACCAATCGCTCCTCTTCCCTCCTGCACCCACTTTCCTGTAACCACAAACTTCTGCTGAACACTCTAACACTACATTTTTAAACCTACCCCATTCCTCTTCGATCCCCTTGCCTATATATATATATATATATTTTATATATATATCGGGGGCAAGGGGGTAGTAACCTCTTCTCCTTATATATTACTAAATGTAAAGGAGAAACTTTCGTTTTTCCTTTTGGGCCACCCCGCCTCGGTGGGATACGGCCCGGGTGTGTTGAAAGAAAGAAAAGATATATATATATATATATATAAACCTGGTAGTAGGTTGGTAGACAGCAACCGCCCAGGGAGGTATACCGTTTCCCGCCAAGTGAGTGTAAAACGTAAGCCTGTAATTGTTTTAAAACGATGGGAGGGTTTGTGGTGTTTTTTCTGTCTCATAAACATGCAAGGTTTCAGGTACGTCTTGCTACTTCTGCTTAACTTAGGTCACACTACACCAAAACATGTAAAAAGAATATGTATACACACCCCTCTGGGTTTTCTTCTATTTTCTTACTAGCTCTTGTTCTTTTTTATTTCCTCTTATCTCCATGGGGAAGTGGAAAAAAATTCTTCCTCCGTAAGCTATGCGTGTTGTAAGAGGCGAAATAAAATGCCAGGAGCAAGGGGCTAGTAACCCCTTCTCCTGTATATATTACTAAATATGAAAGGAGAAACTTTTGTTTTTCCTTTGGGCCACCCCACCTCGGTGGGATACGGCTGGTGTGTTGAAAGAAAGAAAGATATATATATATTATATATATATATATATTATATTAATATATTTATATATTTTATTTCACATATATACACACATATACATACATACATACATACGTACATACATACATACATACATACATACATACATACATACATACATACATACATATATATAACTTTTTTTTTACGTCCGCAGTGTCCCATCAAGGCAGGGAGACCCACAAAAGAAAAAAAATATGCTCTCATCATTCAACACTCGCCATCACTCGTACACAATCGCTGTCTTTGCAGAACCAATCAGAAAAGTTTAGAAGTTCCTCCAAACTGCCAATATCCCAAACCCGTCCTTTAAAGTTCAGCCATTTTACTTCCCATTTCCAGGGCTCGAGTCCAGCTAACCAGTTTCCTTAAATCCTTCACAAGATATTACCCTGCTCACACTCCAACAGCTCATCAGGTCCCAAAAATCATTAGTCTCCATTCACTCTTAATACGCTCGTACACACTTGCCGAAAGTCCAAGCCTCTCACCCACGTGTATATATTCAGCCCAGACTCTTAATTAACCATGGCTAAAGTATGTTGGCAAAGGAATGTTGACGAATTTTCATTTGATTTATTTGACAGTATTTTGTATTCCACTCAATGGGGTTTCTTTTGTTCACGTTAAACCACTTTATTGTCTTTGTATTGAAGAAGTTAAGAGAGTGGTGAAGCAATGTAAAAAGAGAGCAAATGAGAGAGTGGGTGAGATGTTATCAACAAATTTTGTTGAAAATAAGAAAAAGTTTTGGAGTGAGATTAACAAGTTAAGAAAGCCTAGAGAACAAATGGATTTTTCATTAAAAATAGGGAGGAGAGTTATTAAATGGAGAGTTAGAGGTATTGGGAAGATGGAAGGAATATTTTGAGGAATTGTTAAAATTTTTGATGAAGATAGGGAAACTGTGATTTCGGTGTATAGGGCAAAGGGGGAATAACATCTTGTAGGAGTGAGGAAGAGCCAGTTGTGAGTGTGGGGGGAAATTCGTGAGGCAGTAGGTAAAATGAAAGGGTGGTAACGCAGCCGGGATTGATGGGATAAAGATAGAAATGTTAAAAGCAGGTGGGGGGTATAGTTTTTGGGGTGGTTGGTGCAATTATTTAATAAATGTATGGAAGAGGGTAAGGTACCTAGGGATTTGGGAGAGAGCATGCATAGTTCCCTTTTTATAAAGGGAAAGGGGATAAAAGAGAGTGCAAAAAATTATAGGGGGATAAGTCTGTTGAGTGTACCTGGTAAAGTGTATGGTAGAGTTATAATTGAAAGAATTAAGAGTAAGACGGAGAATAGGATAGCAGATGAACAAGGAGGCTTTAGGAAAGGAGGGGGTGTGTGGACCCGGTGTTTACAGTGAAACATATAAGTGAACAGTATTTAGATAAGGCTAAAGAGGTCTTTGTGGCATTTATGGATTTGGAAAAGGCGTTTTGACAGGGTGGATAGGGGGCAATGTGGCAGATGTTGCAAGTGTATGGTTGTAGGAGGTAGGTTACTGAAAGCAGTGAAGAGTTTTTACGAGGTAGTGAGGCTCAAGTTAGAGTATGTAGGAAAGAGGGAAATTTTTTTCCCAGTAAAAGTAGGCCCTTTGACCCAAGGATGTGTTTATGTCACCGTGGTTGTTTAATATATTTATAGATGGGGTTTTTAGAGAAGTAAATGCGAGGGTTTGGCAAGGGCTTTGGTTAAAGATAAGAATCACACACAAGGGGGAGTTGTCACAGCTGCTCTTTGCTGATGACACTGTGCTCTTGGGAGATTCTGAAGAGAAGTTGCAGAGATTGGTGGATGAATTTTGGTAGGGTGTGCAAAAGAAGAAAATTAAAGTGAATACGGAAAGAGTAAGGTTATGAGGATAACAAAAGATTAGGTGTGAAAGATTGATATCAGATTGGAGGGAGAGAGTATGGAGGAGGTGAACGTATTCAGATATTTGGGAGTGGACGTGTCAGCGGATGGGGGCTATGAAAGATGAGGTGAATCATAGAATTGATGAGGGAAAAAAAGTGAGTGGTGCACTTAGGGTCTGTGGAGACAAAGAACTTTGTCCCTTGGAGGCAAAGAGGGAATGTATGAGAGTATAGTTTTACCAACGCTCTTATATGGGTGTTTAAGCGTGGGTGATGAATGTTGCAGCGAGGAGAAGGTGGAGGCAGTGGAGATGTCATGTTGAGGGCAATGTGTGGTGTGAATATAATGCAGAGAATTCGTAGTTTGGAAGTTAGGGGGAGGTGCGGGATTTTCCAAAACTGTTTCCAGAGGGCTGAGGAAGGGTTGTTGAGGTGGTTCGGACATGTAGAGAGAATGGAGCGAAACAGAATGACTTCAAGAGTGTATCAGTTGTAGTGGAAGGAAGGCGGGGTAGGGGTCGGCCTAGGAAGGGTTGGAGGGAGGGGGTAAAGGAGGTTTTGTGTGCGAGGGGCGTGGACTTCCAGCAGGCATGCGTGAGCGTGTTTGATAGGAGTGAATGGAGACAAATGGTTTTTAATACTTGACGTGCTGTTGGAGTGTGAGCAAAGTAACATTTATGAAGGGATTCAGGGAAACCGGGAGGCCGGACTTGAGTCCTGGAGATGGGAAGTACAGTGCCTGCACTCTGAAGGAGGGGTGTTAATGTTGCAGTTTAAAAACTGTAGTGTAAAGCACCTTCTGGCAAGACAGTGATGGAGTGAATGATGGTGAAAGTTTTTCTTTTTCGGGCCACCCTGCCTTGGTGGGAATCGGCCGTTGTGATAATAAAAAAAAAAAAAATAACATAGGAACTATACATGCTCTCTGCCAATCCCTAGGTACCTTTGACTTTTTCATACATTTATTCAACAGAAGTACCAGCCACTAAAATACTATATTACCACCTGCTTTTAACATTTCTCTTGATCCCATCAGTTTCATCTGCTTCACCCCCTTTCATTTTACCAGCTGCCTCGTACACCTATCCCACTCTCGCATCTGGCTCTTCCTAAATCGTAAAAGGATGTTATAATTCCCTGGCCAGTGCTTGAAATCACTGCTTTGCTTTCAACATCATTTGACAGCTTCTTAAGATATTTCTGCATCTTCCCAATACCTCCAACTCCCTATCTAAAATCTCCTTCTGTACTCTTAACTGTCATAGCCATTTGTTCCCTAGGCTTTCTCAACCTATTAATCTCATTCCAAAGCTTCTTATTCTCAGCAAAATTTGTTGATCGAACCTCAACCTCCTTCATTTGCTCTTTTACACTTCCTTACCACTCTTTTAACATCTTGTACTCTATATGCTAACAATTTATGTAAGCTAAGAATTGTTATCCTAGACTCATATTGAAGCCCAGCGTTAACTACTGTGCACCACTTCCAAGGATAACCCACAACAGTCAACAAACACTCAGTTACACTGTATATTTACTGCTAGGTGAACTAAGGCAGAAGATGTAGGGAAACTTACCCACATGTCTTGCCCAGCCAGGAAATTGCATCACTTGTGATGCAAACTAAAATTAGTGTTCTCATTGTTAGTTCCTAGGTATCTTTATTTTTCCTAGTACAGTGCAGAACTTCTAAACACTAGGGACCATCTTTTCATAATAATTTTTTTTATATGTAGTCATTCGGCATTTAATTCCACAAAATAAATGTCTTCAGTGTGACATGCAGATTGCACTGTTTACATATGTATATTGTGAACGAGGAATTACCATTAAGAATGGAATGTCTCATAATAGGAAATTTGCACAGATCCAACCCAGGTAAAGTGAGGGAAACCTGTAGAGTATTGATTCACTCAAAGTAAATATTTTTTTCTGTACCACAGCTCTTTATTCATTTCACTTCTGTACAAGAAGAGACTACATGTTATCAGCATCACAAGGTGTTCATTGGTAACAAATATTTTTCAGTTAAGAATTGTATTAAGCCATTATAATTGTGGAGTTCAAAACCTGCAAGTGTCATTCACACAGTCGTAGATCCTTGAGCCTGTTTGCTCAGTTAGAGGCAAACTACCTAGTTGTAATGTGCAATGATAAGTCAAGAGCTCTTGATTGAAAGAATTAGAGCATATCTCCCCTTCCATGGATCAAACCCTATCTGTATCTAATTCGCCAGATATTGTTTGACCTCAGAGTTTAGCCTTTTCCCATGCATTTATATAATGTAGAGGGTCAGTAGGTGTAAATGTGTACTTTATATATTTCAGAGTCTCAAAGTTGGACGAAAGATGACAAGTTACGGCTTTTAAATAACATGAAGGCACAATTACCCCAGAAGGATAAAGAGAGTTACAGCACAAGACTCAAAGACATCGATTGGGAAAAAGCGGCATTTGGGAATTTTACAGCTGGTGACTGTAAAAGTCATTTTGGAGAAATTTTAACAGAGATTAAATCGGTGAAGTGAGTGAGATGTTCAACTGAATATTGTAAATACTTTTTTTTTTTTTTTAAGCCTTCATAACATAGCAAATAAGCCACAATTTGGAAAAGAAACTTCTCATGTTTCACTGCCCTAGCTGCTGTCCACTACTGGCTGAAAAGTTGCTTTTAAAGGGTTTTTTTTTTTTCCACATTAGGAGTTGTTTGCAGTTTAGTTTACAAACACAGTACTTGGTGCTCTGGCTAGGGCATGCTACCTAGAATGATTGTTCATTGACTGCTTCAATGTTCAATGATTGCTTCAATGTTCAATGATTGCTTCAATGTTCAATGATTGCTTCAATGTTCAATGATTGCTTCAATGTTCAATGATTGCTTCAATGTTCAATGATTGCTTCAATGTTCAATGATTGCTTCAATGTTCAATGAGAGCAGTTTTGTATTCATGAAGTCCATGATGAGTGGTACTTTGATACTATTTAAGGGATCTTGATTTCAAAAATTTGGGATACCCTACATTGAAATTGCTTCCCTCACCCCAGGCATTGTAACCCCTTACAGGTTTAGTGCTTTCCCATGACTATAATATCCTTTGCTGCTCAGTTCCTGTCAAATGCTTATTTATCTTTTGTTAGGACACTCGCCATGGTTTTGGATGAGGTTACAGAAAACATGACAGAACTCGACTTAAAGAAGAGGAAAGTCTTGTTGCCTATTCATCGTTTCATAAGAGACAATTCAGATAGAAGTCATAAGAAGCAATTCACCAATGGGGTAAGTTTTCTCAAGACCTGAGTTCATTATTTCTGTTAACTTATTTGATTTACAAGGGGGGAATTTAAGGTCTCAGTCTGCTTAGTTAAATGACATCGGAAATGGCTGTCTTATCAACTTTTAAACATGTATATGGAGTCGGCTACCATTTTATCATTGTCCAAATTATTTTGCTGCTTTATCATTAGCACTTTTTTTTTTATAATAATTTTTATTTGCTTAAAAAATGATAGATGGTGGTGTAAGGGACAATTGAAGGTCACTTTAAGTAAAGAGAGCTCTTATTTTGTTTTGCCCACGGTGAGGCTTCATAAAGTTAAGTAAAACATTAACCTAACACATTTAAGATTGAACCCCTACATTGTGTGAAGCACCAAAATTAAACAGCTCGGTGTCGGCATTTTCCAAGTTTTTTTTTCTCCTGCAATGGTATATACCTTTGAAGAGTTTAGTGTTTCATTATCGGAGCCCAGCCATGGGTGGGGCTCGTCTCGTGCTTGCCTGGTCAACCAGGCTGTTGCTGCTGGAGGCCTGCTGCCCCACTTATCGATCACAACCTGGTTGCTCTGGCACCTAGAATCTTCTTTTGAACATAATGATGCCAAAAACACGAAATTTGATGGAAAACTTTTGGAAGTATGCTGGTGAAGAGTTAGCAGTCTGGGTGGAATTTATACATTGTGATTTTTTGCCCACTTTGAGTTCTGTTTTTAGCTAGTGTTATTGCTTACTTTGATCCCTTTCTTCCGTTCTATCGACTGAGCACAAGAACCCACTCATTCAACTATTAGAACCATTCTATAAAATGCACAGAAGTCAGTAAATCAGCCAATTTTGCACAAAATTAAAAAATTCCAATTTAACCCTTTCACTGTGTTGCGTATATATGTTATTGATGCCAGAGTTGCTTACGTTGGTCTGTGGTTTGAGTTCAGCTCACATAAGCTTTGAATGGTAAAGTTGAACCTATACATAAGAAAATGAATCTGCAGTGAGTGCACAGTATAAAAAAAAAAATCCTGCCCCATGCAGTGCATGATGGGGAAAAGCCAAACTGATAGTCTTTGATCATATTTCCAGCATCCCAATAGTATTTGAATTGGACTGGGAAGGTGTAAAGGGGCCTTACCTGTCATCAGGAGAATCGTCAAAAATCTAATTTCTCCTACTTTGAGCCTGACTTCAAGCTACTTCCTGTCCTGAAACTAACCAAAATCGTCTTTCTGTAGTAATATCTTCCAAGAATCGAGCCAATTAAACCACAAAAACCATCCTATAAAGTTGCTGTTTTAAACTGAACACAAAGATGAGTTGCTTTGCCAATCATGCACTGCATGGGGCAGGAATTTTGTTTTTACAACAATGTCAGTGGTTCAAGTCTGAGTGAGTTAGGAGTGAATGGAGACTAATTGTTTGTGGGACCTGATGCACTGTTGGTGTGCGAGCAGGATAACATTTTGTGAAGGGATTCAGGTAAACCGGTTAACCAGACTTGAATTCTGGAGGTGGAAAGTACAATGCTTGCACTTTAAAGGAGGGGTTTGGGATATTGGCTGTTTGGAATGACATCTAAACTGTCGTATCAGAGTGCCTCTGCAATGAGAGATTATGTGAATGATGGTGAAAGTATTGAATGTTGGTGACAGTTTTTTTTTTTTTTCTTGTCATCCTGCCTTGGTGGGAAATGACTGAGGCCTAGTCATGGACTGGGCTGTGGAGTATTGACTCCTGGAAAACCCTCCAGGTATACTCTACCTTGGAATGGACCAGTATTTAAAAAAAATTATTGTAGCTGCTATTTGTAAAATAGCTTTCTCTGATTTATTGCTTACTTATTATTAATTCAGATATTTTTTTTATAGGGTAATGGTTTTGTAAATCTGGCTAAAGCTTGGAAAAATTTGCCTGAGGAAGAAAAAGAAGCGTATAGAAAGCCATTTCAAGAGGAGCTTGGGGAGGAGCGTGCAAAGTTACCTTCGAAATATTCACATAGGTAAGTATCATAATCTGTTGACAAAAGTACAGTATACTGCCAACATTTGTGTGGGTGGTGGGGAAGAGGGGGTTGAAGCATGATCTTTCAATGTTTCAGTAAGTAGGAGGCTAGAGATAGTGAAGATTCCATATATGAAGTCAGCATTTTGTGAACAGATTCATGGAAACCTGTTAACTGGACTCGAGTCCTGGAGGCAGGACATGCAACACCTGCACTCTTAACCCTTTGACTGTTTTGGTCATTTATATACGTCTTACACGCCACTGTTTCAGACATATTAATACACACAAATTCTAGCGGCTTCAAATCGAGAAAGCTAGTAGGCCCACATGTGAGAGAATGGGTCTCTGTGGTCAGAGTGCACCTCAAAAAAATCTTGCAGCACGCAGTGCATAATGAGAAAAAAAACTGACTTTTTGTTTATTAAAACACCGACTTTGAGGTGTATTTTCGTATGGTATTTATCATTGTATTCTCACTTTCATGGTCTTGCGTGATAAAATGAAAAACATATTACAGAAATAGAGATGATGTTGATTAGTTTTGATGAAAACGACCTTGAAATTGAGCTCAAAGTAGTGGAAGTGTTCGATTTATTTACCAATGTTCGGGAGTAAGCAATCACACCACACGTCCAATACACATCAACTGGGGAGTCTAATATTCTTTCACTAGTGCACTGATATTATTTATACCATTTTTACAAAAATGTATTAAACTGCATAACAGTAAATTTTTTTTTTTTTAATAAAAAACCAAAATATAAAAAATAGTAATATAAGAGGGTCCTACAAATGTGACTAATGAACAGAGGATGTTATTTTAGTGCAAGAATGTCTCCATTGTTTATTCTGCACTATTTTGATATGGGAGTCTTTTTTTAATTTGCATGAAATTGGCCAAATTGACAATTTCTGATCACTTTATTGGGTAGTTCATATCAGTAAATGGGCAGTTTCTTGTACTCAACTGATAGAGAAAATGGAGTTCAAAAGAAATAGCTATGACCTTGGTCAACTGGAACAACAGAATTGGCCAAAAACAGAGCTCAGTCAGCGAAATCGCCGATGTGTATATATCACCGAGACTGCTAACTTTGCGGGAGCGTAATTCTGAGTTTTCGACCAAATTTCGTACTTTTGGTGTCATTACTATCAGGAAAAGATTCTCTATCATTTCTTAAGAAAATTTTTTTCCCAAAAATTTTTGCGACATAGTTTCAGAAAGTGGCTTGCGACAGTCAGAGGATTAAAGAAAGGGGTTTGGGATATTTACTGTTTAGAGTGACATTTAAACTGTCATATCTGCATGCCTCTAGCAAGACAGTGATAATGTGAATGATAGCAAGTTTCTTTTTTGGGTCACCCTGCCTTGGTGGGAGACAGCAAGCATGTTAAAAAAAAGTGTGGCATGAATATTTTCCAGACTATGGAGTCTAAGAATTTAGAAGATAGTTTAGTGGTTTGAAATATAAAATTTAGAGAGCTATGGAGAAGTTGAAATAGTTTAATCATTTAGAAACGTTGGAGAAAGTTAAGTTGATTAAGAATTTCTAAATTAAAAGAAACTTTTGTTTTTCTTTTTAGGCCACCCTGCCTCAGTGCAATGGTGCACTGAGGCAGTGAAAGAAAAAAAAATTGATAAGAGAGTATACAAATCTGGCTGTATTAAAGATTGTGTAGAGGACATACTAGCGAAGGTTTCAGGAATAGTATGAAAAGTTTTAAGATGTAGGGGTATGATATCTGTGAGCATGTAAGATCAAAGGGAATGGATGGAGACAGAAGCACAAGAGGAACAAGAAACTGTCAAGGATATTGCAAGAAACTACAAATATTTGCACATACAAAAATTCTTGTTAAAAACTACCAGTAGAATTGAACCATTAATCACAGAAGGTTCATCACTTGCAGTGAATAAAATATGAATAAAATTTTTGAGACCAATATGATTGTTTTATGGATTGCTGAACACAGAGTGAAAATGCAAAAAAATATGGGTCTCTATAGTCTGAAGAATGCAACCTATTTTTTCCAGAATTCTTTCAGTCCATAGTCATGGAATCATTATAGCAGTTTATAATTAAAGTGTGGAATAGTCGTCTGCTGTATGTATGCGTGAAGCCTCGTAGAAGACATGAAGAATTCAAGAAATAATAGCCATCACTGGACAACAGAAATAACTTTCATAGTGAATTCCAATTTAGATAAGGAAACTGAATTAAGAAAAGAGCATGTTAAAACACAAATCACATAGATGAAAGAACTTGTGAGGTCGGGTGTACTCACCGACCTTTCCTTCAGAAGACAATAAGGCAAATTCAGATACAGAATGACACTGTATAATGGACTGAAAAAATAGTAGACTGCAGGTGTATCATCTATAGTGAGGAAGGTAGGGGTAGGGGTCATTCTTAAGAAGTTGAGGTTGGGATAAAGAGTTTGTGCAAGGAGCTTGAGTCCACCGGTGTGGTGTATGTGTGTGTGTTAGGAGTGATCGAGGCAAATGGTTTACTGATGTGTTGGTGTGTGAGCAAGGACATTTAGGGAAGGAATTTAAAAAAACCTATTACGACTGAACCTGGAGTGGGAATAGACCTGCACTCTGAAGGAGAGGTGGGATGTGCGTTTGTAAGGCAATTAACTGTAATGTTGGTGCATCTCTTGCAAGAAGTGATTGATGCTATTGAAGGTGTTTTTTCTAAAGTGGCTCCTACCTTGTGGGGGGAAGCTTGGTGTCAGGTGGCTCCTACCCTGTGGGGGGACAGTGTGTCAGGTGCCCACCTTTGTTGGGGGAACAGCTGGTGTCGGGTGCCTCCTACCTCGTGGGGAGACAGCTGGTGTCAGGGCCCTACCTTGTGGGGAACAACTGGTGTCAGTGGCCTCCTACCTTGAGGGGGACAGCTGGTGTAGGTGCATCCTACCTTGTGGGGGACAGTTGGTGTAGGGGCCTCCGACCTCTGTGGGGGGACAGCTGGTGTCAGGTGGCCTCCTAGCCTTAGTGGGGGACAGCTGGTGTAGTGGCCTCTACTCTGAGGGGGACAGCTGGTGTCAGGGGCCTCCTACCTTGTGTGGGGGACAGTTGGTGTCAGGTGGCCCGACTCTGTGGGGGACAGTGGTGTCAGGGGCTCTACCTCTGTGGGGGGACAGTGGTGTCAGTGGTTCAAACTTGTGAGGGACAGCTGGTGTAGGTGCCTCCTAACCTCGTGGGGACGCTGGTGTAGGGGGCCTCTCCCTCTGTGGGGGGACAGCGGTGTAGGTGGCCTCTACCTCTTGGGGGGACAAGCTGGTGTCAGGTGGCCTCCTCCCCGTGGGGGGACAGATGGTTGTCAGGTGGCCTCTACCTCTGTGGGGGTCAGTGGTTTCAGTGGCTTCCTACCTCTGTGGGGGGACAGCTGGTGTCAGGTGGCCTCCTACCTCTGTGGGGGGACAGCTGGTGTCAGGTGGCCTCCTACCTCTGTGGGGGGACAGCTGGTGTCAGGTGGCCTCCTACCTCTGTGGGGGGACAGCTGGTGTTAAGTGATTCAAAGAATAAAAATTAATAGTAGTAGGAAGCAGATTAATATAGAGGAAGCATCTGGGTTCTGATAATAAAGTAAAATTAAACCTGTAGCAGTAAGGTACTACTGTTTTGACTTTAATGTGAATTGTAAAGCATATTAAATACTTTTGTGCCCGGCATGATTTATTTTTTCTCTTTATCGTATAAGATGGCAGGTAAATGTTAACTTCAGCTTTGACTTATTTCCTATATAAAACTTAATAGTTCTTGTTCCTGTGATATTCACTTAAGTGCAAAAATTATAGGGAATGAGTCTGTTGAGTATACCTGGTAAAGTGTATGGTAGTTATTGAAAGAATTAAGAGTAAGACAGAGTAGGATGGCAGATGAACAAGGAGGCTTTAGGAAGGTAGTGGGTGTGTAGACCAAGTGTTTACATTGAAACGTAGGTGAACAGTATTTAGATGACACTAAAGAGGTTTTTGTTGCATTTATGGATTTGGAAAAGGCATATGACAGGGTGGATAGGGAAGCAATTTGGCAGGTGTATAGTATAGGAGGTAGTTTACTGAAAATGGTGAAGTTTTTACGAGGATAGTGAGGCTCGGGTTAGAGTATAAGAGGGGAGTTCCCAGAAAAAGTTTTGCTTAGAAAAGGGATGTGGATGTCACTGTGGCTTTCAACATTTTTATGATGGGGTTGTAAGAAGTGCTGAAAGGGGCCTTGGCAAGAGGTATGGATTAAAAGAAAAAGAATCAAACAAAAAGGGGGTGTTGTAAAAGTTGCTTTTTGCTGATACACTGTTTTGGGGGAGATTCTGAAGAGTTCAGGGGTTTGGGGGAATGAATTTGGTAGGGTATGAAAAAAGAAGAAAATTAAGTGAATATAGGAAAGAGTAAGGTGATGAGGATAAAAGATTAGGTTAAAAAAGACGGGATATCAGATTGGGGGAGAGAGTAGAGCAGGGAAGGTTTTTTCCAGATATTTAGGAGGGACTTGTCAGAGAGGGGTCTATGGGGGATGAGGTGAATCATAAAATTTGATGGGGGGAAAAAAGGGTGGTGGTGCACTTAGGGCTGTGGGGACAAAAAACTGTCGGGGGGAAGCAAAGAGGGGAATGAAAGCAAGAATATTTATACCAACACCCCTATGTGGGATGAAGCATGGCTGATGAATGTTGAAATAAGGAGAAGGCTGGAGGCAGTGGAGATGTATTCTTTGCTGGTAGTGTGAATATAGTGCAGAAAAATTTTATTTGGAAAATTGGGAGGTTTTGGATTCCAAACTTATCCAGAGGGTTGAGGGGGTTTCCCCCCATGTAGAGAATGGAACAAAACAAAATGACTCGGTGTATAAATCTGAGTGGAGGAAGGGGGGGGGGGTCGCCTGGGAATGTTTGGGGGGAAAGGGGTTTAAAATTTTTTGTGTACAAGGGGCTTATTTCCCGAAAGCATGATGAGTTATTAAAGGGAGTGAATAGGGGAAAAATTGCTTTTAAAAACTTGACGGGCTGTTG